TAGTGAGATCGTATGAGGGATCGAAAACGGCAGTAGGTACTTACACTATTTTCTCACTACAGGTAGATCACGTTTATCGGTTAACTACAGGAGCGATCCTCAGGATGGCGAGGCAGAAGAACTTACCGAAAGCACCAGGAGGTCACTTGTTGTCGATATAAAAATGATGCTAGAGAGGTTGCGAAGATCATCGTCGATGAGGGTGAGATGCAACTGTAATGGTTCCTTGCTGACTGAAGAAGCCACTGGCAAGGTGACGAATCAGTGAACTTAGTCGTGATTGTTAAAGTTCGCTAAGGGTTGACACGGGGCCTCGATGATCATCACTACCAATGCGCGTTAGATTCGATCATATATTTCTTGGCTTACGAGCTCGTTGCATTTCTTATGGCTAGGAACGAGGAGAACGTGAAGACCGAGGAAGCCTTCATTAGGGTGGCAAAATAGGGAAACCCTTCGGGGTCTTGGTCAAAATGTCGAAAGGACGATAAGGGACGCGAGGTTGATTTTTGCGGACGACAGTATCAGGGCATTTATTAATCAATAGAAACTAAGACGCTTCCCAAATAATGCGCATGTTGAGATCTGGGTATATTCCATAGACAAGATGTTCTAGGAACTGATGAAACGCAAAATACACAATTTATCAAATACCAGTGTATACTCAGGGATAGAACAACCAATAACTATCATTCGTGTAACCAAACCGAAAGAAAAGTTCATGATTTGCAGCATCTACTAAATGTCTACATTGTCGAACTCCAAGATCAACCCATTGTCGCCTCTTCTGCCGGGCAAGTAACTGAAGCCTATGAGACCGATCTTCCAGGCCTCGATGATGAAAAGAACAAACAAAGTGTTTATGGCTTTTTAGCAGCATTATTGTCATGTACAATGCATCGCAACCATATTCTCGGGCAGAACTGGTAATTTGACTGAACGAACTTAAAAAGGACTCCATTATTTTCCGCATTCGGTGGCACCGCGGGGGGGGAGGCCAAGGAAAGTTGCCAGGGATCTTTGCCAACCTTCTCCCAGCAGTATTGCGTTGGTACTAGTTTAGCAAATATCAAAGTTCCTAAAGCTGCAGGTGAAAATTTTCTCGGAAGAATTTCTTTTAAAGGGATAGGCCCACTTTAATTTCTATTTGTAATACTAACAATTAGCTGAGATTTCCGCGCGTTCGTTACAAGATGCGAGTATTGTATTCATGCAGCACTGTAACGATATCATTACGGATGAACGTACAGTCGCGGGCCTAGTACAGGTTTTTAATGTTAACTGCAATAATTGGACAGTTGGTAAACATTATTTTAGCAGGCTTTTGAGATAAATGGAAAAGGAAAATTGTGATGGCAAGGATTTTTTTAAAATTGAATCACCGGGAACTATCATCCAAAGCAACGTGGCGCTTCAAGAGGGAACACAGAAATTTCTGTATCTTTGGAAACTGCTGATGCAGCTGGTTGGTATTCCGTCCGAGATAAACCAATAAGGCACCTCATCATATCTCCGACGATTAACTGAGCTGGAGATCTTGTTAGGTAAAATGTCGGCCCAAAATTTTTGAATTCTATCTTTCTTCTTATAATAAATGTTTATATGAAGAAGATCGCGATGTTGTGTAAACGTCAAGAGAGGTAAAACTGAATGGGGCGTATAGCCATTGACAGACCTGGAAGTCAGGATGACCTTGTTGATTTTTCTGTTGCAAACTGGTGAGGCTAACTAGAGAGTACTTTAATCTTGGCTACTGTGATTCTTTCTTTTAGGGAAAGGCCTGCTTAGAGCTTGTCTCCATCATCTTAGACGTCGGTTCTCCTAAGGGTGGAAACTAACATATTTTAAGGAGAACAAACTAAGATTGCGGGCAAGACGCTTCTGTGGAGCTGCGTACAAATAATCATATCCTACGGTTCTGGCCCGTTCTAACCGCCATAGAGAACGGACATTTTCAGGGTTGGTTGATAAAATTTCACATTTCGGTAGTATTCGCTTTGTAGTCACGGCCATATGAGTTTGTTCGTCTGCCTTGAATGTCTGACAAAATTTATAAGCATAAGCCAAAGTAGTCTCCTTTTTGCGATTCAAATCACTCATTCTGTTATGTCCCTCTGCACGTACCCGTTAAATATCGTTGGTGCATCGTATCCTACCCGGGCCGTCAGGACATCATGCCACAAACGCGTGACAAGAGAATGATCAAGGTCATGGCCCCCTGTTCACACCGTCTTTGTGCTGATTGGCCACCCATCAGCCTATGACAGTCCCCCTTGCCATATACCCGGCCCTTCCCACAAGCCTCCTCACTTGTGCTGTCTATCGTACTCAGTACACGTCCTATTTCCAATTAGCCTTCTGTTTTGCATACATAACATTGGCGACGCAGTCTAACGAACATGTCTTCATTGCTGCCTACACCGCTACCTTTTTGGCCAAAGAACACCCCGAAGCCCTCGAATGACTCGTGATTGCAATGGAGGAAGACGTTTGAGGATTATATTGAACTACTCCCGATTTTGTCACCCACGATTGTACTAGACGTCTCATCTAAGTTGAAACTCCTCCGGACGAATCTCGGAGAGTTGGGACAACGATATTTTGATCCCCTCAATCTACAAAAGGCTATAGATCTCCAAACAGCCTTCTCAAAACTCGAGTCAGCGTGGGGAGGAAAGGACAACGTCTTTCTCAGTCGATATCGGTTTTGTCAAATGCGTCAAGAATCCAATCAATGTGTCAGTGATTTTATTACTAATCTGACTCTGACCATTCAGGACTGTGGGTATAAAGAGATGAAGGCAGACAACTTCGAGCACGCAATGCTCGTTCAGCAGTTGATCGTCGGTCTGCGCGATGAAAAAGCTCGGGAAAATCTCTTATCAGAGAAGAAGGATTTGTCATGGGAGAAAGCCTGTGATATTGCCAGTCATCAGGAGCGCGTGCGGCAAAACCTTCAGCAGCTGAATCAGTCAAACGATGGAGTAATAGCAGCCTTGGAATCGGAAATGGCTGTCTCCCTGGTCAACACTGCTGTGCCTTCACCTAGACAGCGACCCTCAGCTCCCTCAAAACAATTACTATCCTGCTACCGTTGTGGCCAGCATCATATCCGAAGGTCAGATTGTAGACACCAGAAGACGGTATGCCAGTTTTGCAAGAAAGTCGGCCACATCGAACGAGTGTTTCTCCAAAAGACGAGCGAATAGTAACACACATGCGACCTACCCTAGTCCAGCTTGGGATGGTGAGGTGATACTCCGAATGTTTCCGGCCAACGCTACTCTCCAATCCTCCTACACCATCAGGCTTCCGGTTGATCACCATCCACTGAAGTTTGAAATCGACACTGGCTCAGCTGTTACTCTCA